ATGTGTGAGTATGTGTGAGCATGTGTGAGTATGTGTGAGTATGTGTGAGCATGTGTGAGTATGTGTGAGTATGTGTGCTTCCCCTACGATGAGCTGGCGTGCCATCCTGTGGGAGCTCTCCTCGGCAACTCTGAGAGCAGTGTTTCATTCTGATCGCTGCTCACACTCGGACAATCTGAACTAGTGATTATGACAGCTGCTCCTACAGTACAGCTGAAGTGACCCCCACGCCTCACCTGCTGGTCCTGCAGCTTGACACCCACCACGCGGAAGGTGTTGTTGGCGGCATTGTGGTAGATGTTGATGCGGCTGAAGCCCTGCTGTCCTGGCTTGATTGGAACCCACTTCTTGCTGCCGTCATCATATATCATGACAGATGCTCGGGCCTGGCAGACGCTCTGCTCGCTGTTGGAGGGACAGAGTGCCGTCAGTCAGGCCTTACGACCGGCAGGTTCACCACACCGGAACATCTGGAGAACACATCACGATCGTTTTCAGGTCTTACAACAGCTGCCGTTCAAATCACTCTGTGAATATTATTAACTTTTAGTAAAACAAAAATGGCTGATCCATACATGTATTTTCAGTGAGCGTGCTGTACCATCACTTTCCTAAAGCAGCACTGACGTCCTCCTGCACAGATCTTCCTCACCTTTCCTCATGTTTTTATTCCTGACTCTGTAAGGGGCTAGTCGCCCTGGCAACAAAGGCCCGGAGCTATGTCCGTGTCACATAGAGGACCACATGGACTCACGTCTTCACTGATTAATGGATGAGTCTATTCTAATTTTAGCCCTGCAGAATGGAGGGGTGATTTAGCATGGAGATGTCTCAGTGCTGGCATCATTCACTGTGACTGGAAGAGATAAAAGCTGTAGTAATTAGAGAAGCCTTCTCTGCACCCTCTGTTCCTTGCTGACGGTGTGGCCAGGATACTGTTGGCACATATTCACCCAAAATGCCCTCAGCTATAAGAAATTTGCCATAGGTCATTGACTGTATACTTCATATTAAAGCGAGGTATCCCTGCTACATCAGCGATAGTTCAGCTGTGAGCGAAATATTTCCCATGATGCTCGTGCCGGCTTTTTCAACAGCGTCAAGGTCTTAAAAGTCCCAGAGCCAAACAGCTTGCGTTAAAGTTTATGGCTGCTGAATTCCTTTAGCTTTGGCTGCATTACCCAGCAAAACTACTCCGCAAGAAAGACAAATAAAAGGCCAGACTCACATTACTGGAAATAAATGTATGAAAATACCCCCCAGCTTAGCTTGATAATCAATAAATGTGAGTGAGCATTTAGAGATAATGCAGTGGTAGACAAGTATCTAGGCTGGCATTCTGATGATCTGTTTTTTCTGTACAAGGCAGCAGTTTAAATTCAGTAATCCTTTGGCCTATGACACTTTACTAGGAAAATCTAGATTAACCTATGGAGGTTCCCACAATGGGACTTTAACAAGCTGTATTTTGGGTAGGGTGGGGGCAACATGGGAGGGGGTAAGTACTGTAATATATAGGTCAACTCCACATATATCTTATGCTTGCTGGGTGGCTGGTGGTATGTTCATCTGCACCCAATCGTTGGGGCAGTGTGGTCACATAAAACGTCCATGTGCTGCTGCATAAACAAAGGGCAAACCAAACAGCTGTAAGCCTCCACTAATAGTGCTCTGAGTCACCAGGCTACAGGGCAAAAGGCACGTTGGCCAACAATAGACACCGAGAGCATTACCTCCTTTTCAGAAAAACCAAAAACCTGCTGCATGTAATGATATACACAACAAAAAACCGTAATGATCTGAATAAATATCTAAGGAAAATGCTGCCAAAAACCATCCTAGCAGAGCTTCCCTTATTAACTGGGGAGATTTTGAGTATAATATTCCACTGGCTTATAAGAAAAAAAAACATTGCTGCTGCAGGCCCTGCTGTAAAGTAGCAGGACCCACAGCTGGATGGTAACGGACCAACCCAGAAACCAGCTGGGCCTTCTTCATGCCCCGAAATCCACAGATCACACCTGCAACACCTGAGATGCCTTCAAAATGGCCACTGGGGGCATATGGGGCCATAATGGCAGCCTGAGCAGAGAGTCACACACAAAGACAGGTTTGACCATTTTTTTGCTTGGACTGTATGACTGTTACTTGTACAACAGGTATGCAATATTCAGTTAATCCTCCTGCACCACATCGTGAAGCAGAAATTGCCACACAAACTTGATAGGGATTTTCCATCCAAAGCAAACTAACCTGCATCTAGTTATGCAACAATCAACATTTAAAATTTAAGATGTGCCACAATGCATAAACTAGGTCAGATGTGGCAGACGTATTGCAAGAGGCTTACAAGTAGTATATTACAAACATACAAGTAGCACATTACAAATATATTTCTTTAGAAAATAATCTGGCTGGGTCACTATGAATAACATAATATGTGAGTAACAGGAATCAATGTGATTCAATACATAACAGATATACAGTGATCAGGGTCAAAATATTTTTCATTATTGAAAAGCTTGCCATACAAGGAATAAAAGGCCAGGAACTGATTTTTCTGTACGTAGAATGAGAACCTTCATTCACATACTTAACCAATCTCAGTTAGTCAAGATTGCAAAACACAGGAGAAACTGGAAAGATTAATTAGAATGTCAATTACTTCTCATAATGATCCCAAGGTAGCTTTTCAGGGTACCATCAAAAATCCAAGAAGTAAGTGATCTTCTGTTGCCCCCCCTCCCTACGAGAAGGAGAATTAGTCCCCAGTGATCCCCCTGTGCAGCCGCAGGGGGTGGGAACACAGAAATCCAACCACAAGCCTGTTAAAGGCAGCACTGCGAAGCCTGGCCCGCCATCCCCCCCTCCCCCAGCCCATTTCACGTCCCGCTCGGTGCAATTACAGGGCAGGGCACCGGATCCCACTTCTACGCCGCTTAATTACTAACCCAGAATCCCACTGAAGGGGTGGGTTTCGCAGAGCTGGGAAATGGGCAGCGCTCCACCCATGGGCACCGGCCCCAGCGTGCACCCAGTGCGGTCTCCATGCTCAGCATTTAGCAGCGACACCCAGCCCAAGCCCACTCCCCGGGGCTCTTAAATGCAGGGCGTCAGCCTTAAAGCGGCACCCAGCCCTCATGCGGGATATTCAAACATGCCAATGTCCAGACCCCAGGAATCTCAGGATTAACAAGGAACAATGTGCAGGGCTTCTAAGCTGGAGAAGGGCCATCATTTTGCCCCATTTCCTTTACTAAATATTTATCGTTCACTAAAATTCTTTAAACAAACTTTTATGGTGCACTAGATGATATTTAAAGAAGTCTCTGCTGGGATTACATATTGTTTGTTTATTCACCGTAAGACATCACAAAATTTCAGACTATCATTATGTTTCCTGTATCTATCTGACTGCGTGTTTAATTTGAACTGAAGGAAAAAGGACACTAGATAATAACAAAACCAAGCAGGTTAGCCTGAAAGAATGACTGTATAAATAAAGTGGGAAATGACCCAGAACAACAGATGACACTGGTCAGCAAAGGATGTATCAAGCTACACTTAGTGTTAATCCAAACACAGGCACTTTCTGACATTCTTTCAGCCTTAGTTATTCAAACTGCAGCTAAGTTTAGGGAAAGCCCTGGTTTGGTTTCCAAAGCCTGTCTGTGTTTGTTTAAAAGAGTGGTCTTCAAATGCCAAGAATGCATCAGGTCACATCAGGTCCGGCTCAGGGTATCTGTACCGTTTTCAGAAATGACTGATAAAACGCCAACATTTCTAACAGAATCATTTTATCATATTCCAGACAAGGCTGCTATAACCCCATACTAAATGAGCAGGATGGAGGGGTGGATGGATATACTGAAGACAGTACTATAGCAACAAGTGAACTATTACAAGTTACTTTCATACAAAGAATAAATCTGCCTTACGTACCTTTTGGAAGCCATTTTCATAGTTTGTTACCACTAATGCGAGAGCAATTTCGTTAAGGAGAACCAATTCTGAACAGAAAAAAAAAGTCTTGTTTGAAAAGGTAGGACAAATGATGACTGTCACGGACTGAAATGACAGAATAAGCTGACGGAAGTTAAAAGGAGAACAGGAAACTCATTTGGGTGTCTTTGAAACTGGTGATTTGAAAGAGGGGGCTAAATACTTTCCAGTGTTTTTGTTGACGGGCTGTCTTTAATGAATAAGTACATGAGTGATATCATCCAGCTGGCATACGAGCAGCGTGCAGTCGGGCTCCCGATCGCTGCGATCACCGGTCCCACGCCGCCGACTCTGCGGCAGCCCACGGCAGCTCAGCAAGCAGGATAAAGAAACAAAAACACAAAAGCCCCCTGCCCCAAACCTCAACAAACCGCTACTTAACAGCAACTTCCTCATTTTCACCTTAATGAAAACACGTATGACTGCCGTGCTACGCAAAAGAAGAAACAAGACACTGAGTTTCTAGGGAACACCTTGCATTAACACCTGCAAATCTTTATAATAAAATCACTTTCACCGACAAACTAATATGGACAGGGTTGATAACTCTGGTCAGCTGGCTGGCGTGAGATTTTGAATTTTGAAGTCTGCACACGAATTTACATGTATGTAACAGTTTTACTGCCTTGTAAATGGTCTGTGATGTTTGCAAATTACCCCAGCGCCTTTTATGCAGCTAATTTTAGGTTTTTAATGGAATAATATAGATTTGCCGTAAGATTTCTAGCGTGAGTCTGAAAGCGAGTCAACCAATTTCTTGTCTAATCGTTATAAACATGATGATTCATTTTTGTTTAATTTGCAGGTTAAGTGATAATAGCAAAAAAAAATGTACAGTTTTTAGTCAGGGGTGTTAGTAAATAATTTGGTTGGACAGGGTAGCATGTTCGCCCACATGATTATGAGTTTCTCCGTGACCCGTCAAGTCATCTGATAAATATACGCAGGTCTTTATAAATACTTTCTGCTTTAGAAAACTTCCGGGGAGAGGAACCACAGCCTCTTAACACTTGGCAGGTTCGGTTCCCCCTTAAGAGCTGACACAGCTTGCCGAAACAATAACTGAGGAGATGCTACGATATCCGAATCAGCATTAATGGTGCCGGAGGAAAAGGGAATGTGTACTGGAGCAATCTGTGGGGGGGGGGGACTTTATGTTGCCCACTCATGAGGAACACCTTGTTATCCAGTCAATTTTTGGTGTCTATATACACAACTAATACAACATGAATACACATACGTCATACGTTATAACTAGGAATAATTGTTATAAACGGTTCTGCAGCTGACGCAGGATAAGGAACTTGCTGCTGTCTGACAACAATTTCCAGATTAGCGTTAGTCATGATCCATGATCTTCATGTTGGAAACAGACCCAGAGGAAGCAGCTGCAGTGCAGGAAA